TGCTCAGAGGGCCACAGCAGCACCTGCCTTCCCAAGCCCCACTCCATCCCTTCAGCCTGCCAGGGCCACGGGCTGGAGCCCAGTTGGGGCAGGGGTGGCCACAGGTGGCCCCTGGCTCTGGCCCCACTGAGAGGGGCAGGGAGGGGATGTGAGGCTGCAGTGCCTCAGTGCAGGTGAGTACCCATTGTTACTCCATGGGGTAACACAGAAGTCACAGAGCAGGAATAATGCAAAGGTGTTTGGTTTTTCCTTTCCCAGCACTGAGTCACTGCAGGCCAGATGGAAAGCACCTGGGTTATTACACAAGATAAGCTTGATAGGATTGTAAATCATAAAACTGTCCCAAATGGCAGAGCTGCTGACAGCAGACACTACCATTCAGTGGCACCTGATGTTTCCTTTTCTTTGTTTCTTCTTGCCATCCCCTCCTTAAAACTCCATAAAGTGAAAAGGAAAAGCAGAAACTCCAAAAAGACCTGAATGATGAACCAAAACCTGACATTTCATGTTTCCTGCATTTGACTAAATGCAGTAATGCTGAAATAATGAGATACATAAAATCTCTTTTAAAAAGGCTTAGGAAATAAAACCAGAGAAGTGTATCCTCTAATATTCCATGTAATTCAAAAACATTATTCAGAATTGACTAGATAGAAAACACTGTGACTAATGGGAACTAGGGCATCACTTATGTGATATGAGCACTTGAGACATCTCATATACACACAAAGTCAAATATTAATAGTGTGGTATATCAACAGAAGCAATCTCTCTGTTTTGGGGACAGATGCAGGAATTTATTTTATTGTCTTTATTTACAGCAACAATCCTTTCATTGCTAATATCCTCAGCTCCTGACAAAACATGCCTAAGGGACAGCAGCTCTGTCTCCCCTTTCTGGAAACTCGGGCTGTGCTTTAACTGCAATTAGGAAGCTGCTTTGATTTTCCTTCCAAGTTCAGTGCTCCTGACCCTGGTAGAGGTTCTTTAGTCACACAGGGCTGTTCCCCTGAAGATGCAAGAACATCACTCCCAATGAGTCTTTCTGGCCTCAGCACCCAGTGCCTCACCCACCACGAGCAGGGAACACACACTCTATAAACAGTGCACTGTAAGCACTCGATGCAATTACACATCTGAAAGAGACAAATATTCAAAACTAAAGTTAACAAGCACAGGCCACAACAATCTGCATTTAAATGTATCAAACAGGGCAGGCCTGTTCTTCAAAGCAATTTTTTTTCCAGAAGTGATTAAGAAAAGAGATGACCCCTCTTTACCCCCATTAACAATGCAGCACCCATCAGCAGGAATTTTATGACTTTCTGGTGGTATTTATTGACAGCTGTCAAACATTTGGGTAAAAAATATGGAAAGAATACACTGAGTAAGAAACATGGGGAGGGGACTCAGGTGATCAGTGGTGTGTTTATTTTGGTGCATAAAACATGTAAGGAAAATTATTTCCACATTTCTAAGGAAAGGTTACAAGCAATGAAAAACAAATGGAAAAGAAACCAAGCAATTTTTTTTTACAGTAACGTTGAACAAGGGAGGTAAAGGCAAAGTTGTTAATTCAACAGAAGCCAAGTATTTGGGAACAATCCTGGTTATGAGGACCACAGGTTAAAACAGACTAATTTTTCTTTTATTAATTAATACTGTTCTGTGAAACAACATTTAAAATCTGAAATGTTCCTACAGCTCTTTTTCCTGCAGTGTTGTGTAGACAGATTAGAATAAACAAACTTGCTCTCTACTGAGAGCTGGAAAGTGTGACCCAGCCCTGACCTTCCCTCCCACCATCTCCATCTGGGCACAGAAGAAAGAGCAGAATCAAAGGCCAGCAAAAAGTGTGGTTACCCAAGGAGCTTCCCCCTCCCAGAGCCCTCAGCAGCTCCTGTGCACAACTCTCCTTGCAGAGGGGACAAGGACATTCTGGTGGTCTTTAGATACCCAGGTTACTAAAATTTGCAGCCTGAATTTGCCTCGTGCACACAGATTTCAGCTGGGTTTGAGAAAATCTTGCAAAGCAGCGAGGAGCTGATGGGGAATGAAATGTCAAAGGCATGGCCCTCAATCCACAGCTCCTCGTGGTCTTTAGCTCCACAGGTACTTTGGATGGAAGAACCCAAGCTCAGATTGGGAGAGTTTTGGAACTCAATCAACAGGCAGCAGGGAAGACAGGAGGTGCTCTTACACAAGAAAACAGATGCCAGACAGCACAGAATGCTGTGGTCTGAGGGAGGATACAGCAACAGGCCAGCCAAGAGTGCAAGCAGGTACAAGTACTGAGCTTTGACTCACTTAAACAAACTATAAGTTATTTTTAAAAAATATATATAGATCACTCCCCATTCAGTCTGTGAGAGCTGAAAGTCCAAACTAACCTCTAAACCATGACAAAAAAAATCTAAAATAATATGCATTTTTGTTCCAGTCCCAAACACATTTTCATCTGAGATCTTTTCACACTGCAAAATGATTTTTCCTAAACACTCAGGAAACAGAACTCCAAATAGAAAGGGTTTAATAACCATGTGGACAGCCTGACAGCATGCAGCTCTGAAAGAGCCACCTGAACCTTTTGCTCCCACTGCAGACTCACAGAGGCATTACTCATTTAATGAATAAAAAGTTAAAAACTCAAACAGCAGCAATAAATACTCCCAAAGATGGGGGAAAAAAACCAGCACTCGAGCCAAAGTAATACTATAGTAGGAGACCATCCCCTCAGGAATGTCAGCCACTTGTGGCTCCTGCTGTAGCACCACTCCCAGGTTCCCTGGGCTACATCTCTATACAAATTACCAGGTCATTAAAGAGCTCTGGAGGGCTCCTGTGTGTCACTGATGGTGGAATTCCTGAAAAAAACAAGCCAGGTTGTGAAAACACATCCCACCATGTCTTTCCCAGAGTGGGAAATCAGCAGGTCCAACAGAGCTGGACACCAAATTTGGAGCCTACTGATGGAGAAAAGAATTTCACTTAATGACCTGTGAAAGACTGGCAACAAGAACGTGTGACCTGGCGACAGGCAGGAAAGCCATCCGGATTTCCTAGCTGGCTCTCAACTGCAATCACCTTTTCACAGCTGAACGGGTCCTGCAATACTCAGGGGACTAAAAACTTTATCAACTAAGCAAAGTATAACTCTGCCCTTTAAGACTTTTTTTTTTCCCCCTGACCACATTTGCACACAAAGAATCATTATTCACATTTAAAATATAAAAGAAAAAATACCCCATAAGCTACATATGGTGTGCAAGTAAAGAACACTTTCACAGAGCGTGGAAAGCATAAAGTGCCACGTGAGAGCTTGACTGTCCCTCCAGATCTCTGGGCCACCACTCCACACACCACAAAATGTGCAAGCCAGGAGGAAAGGGGACACACATTACTCCTGCAACATGCACATACCTTTCACTAGCTTAAAATAGCTTTTATATTTCCAAGAATGCACAAGATGAATTACAAATACATTTATGAACAATGGGCAATTCTCTCTTGATGCAAGTGCCACTAAAAAGCCTCTGCTTTACCTGTTCTGATCAGGAGCAGGGGAAGTAACAGAGATGTCAGCTACCAAGGGCATCAAGTCAAACCAAGGATTAAAGAAACAGTGACCAGCAGAGTCAGACACCAGTGTAAAGGTGAGGTAATCACCAGCTGGAGGGCAAATTAAGAAGGAACAACAATTCTGGTAGGCAGAATGGACTTTGCCAGGAAAAGTGCTAGGATCTTTTCTGATCAGATCATCCTCAACTCTTTGGTTAGAAACTTCTCCAGGTATTTGTACTGCACTTGTTGCTGTGGTATCAAATTATTTTTGATGTCCAACCAGCCCATCAGATTAAGACTGTAAGCTTTTAGGTAGATCTTTATTTATCTGCATGCAAACTGCTCTAATCCATGATTGCCATTATTCCATTACAGGACCAGACTTCTGGTTTGAGCTTCTGACTGTCACTAAAATGCTACTCCTTAGAGATCCCTCAGAAACAGAATAGGCAATTTTAAAATAGCACTGTTTATAAGAAAACAGCTCACTTTTCTCCTGAGAACAGGTAAAGTGATTCTTCCACCCAAGGGGCCTGTAGAGCCACAGCAAGGCTGGCAGCCACGTTCTGCTGCACCAGTGCTCATCTCTTCAGCACAGCTCCTTCATCCCAAGAAGCCACAAGACTGACTGGATCCTTGCAGGAATTGCTTCCCCTGGACCAGGTTCTTGGACTTTGCAACTTTCTACGGGGAGGGGTATCACAGAAAAATGGATATCTGCAGATGATGAACCCTCTGATGTTAACAAAGCAAAGAAACTTTACATAACCTGGATTTTCCCAGGTCATCTTCCCCACTGTTCTTGTCCTATCTCAAAGCACAGAACAAGGGAAATGTCACCTGGGATGTCTGGAGTCAGAGCGCTGAGTTTTGCAGGGATATCAGATGAGCCTTTGGGATATGGAAGTGAGCCCTTTTGGCATTTGCTGCTAATTGGGCACCAAAAAAGCAAAGTCTGAATGAATTTTGTAGTGTGTGCCTGCATCACTGGGAGAGGGCAGACAGCTCCCGTGGCTCTCCCAGCTGGCACACCATGCAACCCTAATTTCATTCAAGTCAAATAGCTATAATTGCTTTTTATCCAGATGCTTTTCTGATTCAGGTACTACAACTGCAACATGAGAGAGTCCAAGATTTATGAAGAGGCAGCTTGACTGGAAATGGAGATGGGTATTTGCTGTTTCCATGTGTATACCTACAGCTGTGGGTTCAGAAATGGAAAGGGGCTCTTATGCTATGGTTAAGAAAGACCCAATGAGCATCATGGCATTTTATACTACATTACAGAAGAAACCAGTTTGCAGTTTTGGGCAAGTCTTTGATGTTTGTTTTTCAATCCTAGTGAGTAAATGTTAACTAATGTAATTATAAACACTTTAATCCAGAGGGAGATTAAAAAAAACCAAAAAAACCCAAAAAACAAAAACCCCAAAGATTAATTTGATTGAAGCACTAAATTTAATCCACTGATGACAAAACATTCAAAAATAAGTCTTCCATTTTAGGTGTAACAAATAATGAGTCAAAAAAACCAAAACAAAAACAAAAAAACCCCAAACAAACAAAACCAAACATAAACAAAAAAATCTCAACATTGTGGCCATATACCAGCTCCTGGCTATACAAGGCTCAGACACAAAACTGATATCCTGGCTTTAAACCACCTCAGAATGATCAGAACCCATGTTAAGCTTCTTCCAAACAGAGAACACCAGTGAAGATACCCACTTTTAAACACTGTGTCCCTCATCCCCAGCATAGAAAGAGCAGGATATATTTACATTATCCTAAAGGAATTGCAAGTCCTTCAAGTACTTTTCAGTTTAATTAATAAAAGAATATGGATTTCAGAGGATTTAAACTCAAGCAGGGTCTAAAATCTGGTCTTTGACCATAAAAAAAAAATAAATTAGTAGCATGTGACACTTAAATGATTGAAAAATTATTAAACAACAGAGCAACATTTTTCTATCCAGTGCTTTGCACAGCATAAGAAGAGTATTCTTAGGATGATGAATCAATTTATCTTCACTGGCCAGTTTCCAGGAGTATCCACTGGTGCCACTATTCCACCTGAAACAACCTTGCACAGCCACATGGAATTGAGACTTCAATTTTTTAAAGAGGAAGAATTGATTTTGATTTTAACCAAAACAATTATGAAACCTAAAGCTTACATGTAGATTTTGGTAGTGATTGTTACTAGTAAACTGCACAAAGAATAAATATCAGTACTTCCAAAAGTGACACCACAGTAATCCTGCTGCTTGACTGCATCAAGCAGGGACAAAACACAAATAGCAAAATCCCAACAAAAGTCTATTAAGCTTTACTTGGTTATTATTAATAGGTAACACAATAAGCTGGTTTAAACAGTTTTCCCCAGAGGATGCCCCTGTGACTGTGTTCATTAGCAAAATGACTTGTAACATGATGGGAAGTCCAGAACAATCACAATGGCATAATCAGAGCTGCAGTTTGTCAGCAGGGCGCCGTATTTTGGAACAGGTAAAGATTCCTGTGAATTTGCAGGGCTGCACACATTAGCAGTTCTCCAAGGAAAAAACGTTAAGACTGGTTTTTCATCAGTCCCTAACTACAAAATGAACACATCAGACCAAAATAGTTTCTTAAAAGTAGGTCAAAAATACCCATTCATGATCACTTCTGCATTGGTTTCCTAGCAGATTCACCTACCCGCGTGGATATACGTCATGTGTATCCTGGAGACACTGAGGCAGAGGAAGAAAACCAAATACATTAATGAGGTAGCTTAGACTGGGTAACTGCAGTTAAAAGTTTTATTGAACAAAAGAAGGTAAAATGTGGTAGTCCAGGTTCACTGAGCAAAAGCAGCTCTCTCACTGAAGCTGCACTTTGTGCTAAATAACCTTATTAACTGAGACTATACAGAGGACACATTATGCAAGTTATCTCAACAGCAAAGGAGAAAAGGTAGATTAAATTTGATCGGATGGAACCATTTGGTCAAATTCAGTGGCTTAAGTTACTGATTCTAGCCCTTAACTACCCATATTCAGTACAGCCACAGCACAGAATACACAGCTGCACTGAATTCCCATTTGTTAATAGTGTGTGCTCCCATGCAAGAGGAAGCCAATTCCTGAAAAGAAAACCAAATTAAAAAACACAAATATGTTTAGAATGTGTTGTTTGAAGCATCATTCAACTGACTCAGGAAAAACACTCGATATATGTTATAAAAAACTCCCGGCCTCTACAAGGTCCGCTCCTGTACAGTGCTAATATTTTAAAATTATTTTATTTCTTCCCTCTGCCTAAGAAACTTCATATGCTCTGAAAGCACCCACAAAGTCAGGTGGGTAAACAGATATGTCAAAAATACTCTGTGTAAAGAGGGAGGTAGCTCAGGCCCCTTGGCAACCTTCAGAGAGTTCACATGATGTGGTCTACCTACCCTTGTGATCTGCAGTCAAAAATGAAAGGAAAAATGATTTCAACATGAAATTCAGTAACATGTTCAATACAAATTTGACTCACTGGGCTCCCAAATGTAAGCTACAAGGTACCTCACACCCAACATACAACATTAATAACGTACCTAGTTCATACATTTTATAGACAATACCCTCTCATTTGTTAAACATTTGGCTCGGGCGAGTACATCTTTTTTTTGTTAACCACTTGAGAGACATTCTAGGCCAAACAAACAGCACAAATAATGTCAAAGTCTTTTTTGTTTTTTCCAGTAATTGTATGAAATGCTGTAGGCTAAGCCTAACAGAAACTACTGAAGAAAAATAAGAGACCCCATGATGCAGTGCAGAGGTGTTACTACAACATCGTGAGCCAAGGGATGGTTCTAAGGTGCTGAAAGAGGAGACTCTCTGGACGGTGACCCTGTGTTGTCCTCCGGAGGGAAAACAGTGAGAGTGCAGGCTCGAATGCCACCAAGGGATTCTGGAAGGTCAAATACTTTATGCCACTCATCTTTTTCTGGATCATACTTCTGAACTATTTCCACCATACACCGGTTATTCCAAGAATATCCTCCAACAACATAGATTTTATTTTCAAAGACAGCAACCCCAACATCGCTTTGCCCACGTAACATGGCGGCAATTGGAGTCCACTGGTCTAGAGTTGGTGAGTAATATTCACAGCTTAGAACATCATCATAATCACTTGTTCCTCTAAAGTGGTTTCCACCAATAACATACAGCTTGTCTCCTACAGTACACATGCAATGCAGACCTCTGACTGTCGTCATCGGAGCTTTCTGAGTCCATTTGTCTGTGTCAGGGTCAAAGCACATGAGTTCCTTTTGGAAAGTGTCGTGGGTAATTCCCCCTAAAGAAACAAGACACATGTTAGAGGAGTGCTCACCCCAATAAGCATTAAATAACAGAAAATACATTTTGCTGAAAGAATTCCATTTTCCTTAAAACTCCTTCACTCTCGCTTGGATTACTATCACAGAAGTACTCCATTTCAAATGACATTTGTTCCTTTAAATGGGAATATGGAGAGAAGCCATGTCTCACACTGCACGTCATCACACAATTGATACTGGCAGATTAAAAGAACAAAAAAACTGTTACCTATGCTTCTACTTTGCAAATTTATTTCTTTGCTTGTATTCATTCAGTTTGCTAATTTTGTTTCTCACCATCAATAATCCATTTCCCTTTCAAATGCTGATACTATGCCACTGTGTTTTAAGTACCACATAGCAGCATTTTCATAAAAATCTTTTTTCATCAACTTCAAGTGAATAGAGAGAAGACACACATTTCAAATATTCTTCAGTTAATAGTTACCTATGGTTCCCTCCACATTTACCTTCTCCATAGCTCCCTGCAAAAGCATTTGGAGAGGCTCCAGGACAAAAGGAAAAGAAAAATCTGTGGTACCTACATGAAAAAACCACAGCAGACGGCATATGCAAGTGCCACCTGCAGCAAAACAAGCAAAATGGGCAAAACACAACTGACAGCAGCACAGCAATTAGGAGCTCAATGGACTTGCTCACAGAAAAATGAGCACCTGTACCTCACAGTAAATTCTAAAGCAAATTCCTCCTAGCCTACTGGCACAAGAGCCCCTAAATGAAGTTGCTCCAGCACATCCCCCACCAGTTCTTGTCAGCTAAGCAACTTTGTCCCACCTCCTGCCTTGAATTTCAGCTTAGTTCTTAAGAGGACATCCTTTAAAATTTCAGTGGGAAAATATAGGCCCTGCAATGATCACTGACAGATTGAATTTTCTTTAAAAATTAAGCTAACAGCAGATTTTCAGACAACCCATTTGGAAAAAAAATGTAATGAAACTGCAACTCAGTTACACACAGGACAAGCATATTTCAAATTAAAAACCAGTGAAAGTACAGATATCACTTATATGCTATGATTGACATGAGAACTTAGCCCTTTCCATTACCTCAATGGAGGGAAACGTTGTTTAAAGTTGTAAAATTTCCAGTGCATTCCAAAGTCTATAGGGAGGGTGTGTTTAATTGCTATATTATATCATAATACATGTTATAATTATTTAATACTGTTATACACAATTATAATTATATATTATAACAATATTATGTGTAATTAAATTGCTATATATAATATATAAATTATATATTATAATTTATATATGTGACTACAGAAAACTTTCTTTTGATTGGTAAAGTTTGTAACTGCTTTGGAATTCAGAGCTATTCAATCACTAAGCATAATATTATCTACAGTAATTTTGTCAGAGCCAGCAGGGTATGTGCTGTTTGACTGGCTTCAGATGAAACTGCATCACTACTGATACCATGGCAGTCCTACTGCAACCACAGACTAATTCATACTGTCTGCAGCGGCAACAGAAAAAGTTAGACAAGGAATTCTTTCAAGAGATGATGTCACAGGCACGATTTATTTACCTGAAATATACATTAACCCCCCGTACACGGTTCCAGCGTGACCATAGTGGGGCTCGTTCATTTTTGCCACGTAGCTCCACTCGTTCATTCTGGGGTTGTAACATTCCACGGTGGCTGTTGGAGACAAATGAGAGCACAGGAGTGTTGAGAGCAGCATTGGTGCTGAGCTCAGTGCATGGCACAAACATTCACAGGGGAAGTGCCAACAAGTAACACAGTGCAGCTGAGGGAGTCTCAAGGGAATTATGGAGCACTATCACAGAAACAGAGCAGATGGGGTTGGAAAAGGCCTCTGGAAATCATCTACTCCACCTCATCCAATTCTGCTAAAGCAGGGTCACCAAGAGCAGGCTGCATAGGATTGTGTCCAGCTGGGCTGTACCATCAGCAAACTTGCTCAGAGAACATTCTGTGTGCTAATTTCCTATTCTGTGTGCTGATTTTCTATTGTACTGCAGTGTTTTATTAAGGATTTGCACAGCAACATACAGCACAGCATATGCAAGTCACTACATTAATTTACAAAAGCCAAGCTTAAAAGAAAATGAAATATCCCTGAATCTGGCAAGGAGATAAGCAGTGCCTGTGTTGATGCTCAGCTCCATTTGAGCAGTTTTCCCTGCAAGTTGGAATGTTAAAATGATCAAGGCTTTTATCAGATCAGAGATCACAGAGGACAGTACCCAGGAGTCAGTGCAGAATGGATTCCTGAGGAGGAAACCTCTCTCCAGTGTAAGATGGGAGAGGTGCAGGCTGCAGGGAAAGGGATGCAATAATCACAGAGAATACAAATAGAAGGCAGATTCAATAATGGAGCAAGCTCTAGGTTTGGCAGCTTGAATACTACTGTATGATCAGAGGGGCACAAGATCCTCAAAACCCCCATAAATATGGGGACTTTATGATGCACAGAGAAATTGTCAATAATTATCTTAAAGCGAAAAGATTAAGATTGCTTAACTCTCTTGGATGTTTATGAACTATACATAGAAAAATTGAATCTGTCTTTAAAAGTGGCATCTAACTTGCTCTAGAACAAGGTTTTTATTGAATCATGAGTAGAAAATCTGAGTCAGCTCTAAGGAATCAGTGATGACTTAACAGTGCAGGATTACACATCAACCAAGAGAGAAAATACCCTTAGAATCTGAGAAACTTGTCATTATAAAGGCAGAATCTAGTTAGCTTTAGTTTAAGCCTAATTACAGAATTATCGAGCCAGTAAAGAACATCAGACAGTAACACATAGTGAATATAAGGCACCTCACCCTAACTCCAAAGCTGTTATGAAAAGATCCTCTGGATCACTTTAGCAGAGTATAACTATGATCTCAAACTACAAAAAAAAAAATCCCTAGTCATGAAAAAATTAGGATAGAGCACATTAGAGTGACCTTCTGAATTCTCTTCTAGTTGCTGCATAACCTCTTTATTGTTGCAAAACGGGATGATAATACATAATTCCATGCAATTAGTGTCTCAAGTACATGCCCTGAAAATAGAAGCTTCCAGTTCCAATGTCAGAAATCCTGTCTGACAGCCAGTTCAGCATCATCTAAGGCTAGAAGTGAAAAATAAAAAATATATTTTGCACATAAGAATTGTTAAATTGTTACAGCACACTGGATTTGCTTCAGCTTTTCCCCACCCAGCAGCCGAACTTTAAATTTATGAAATGCAGAATAGTGCCAGTCCAGAACATTAAGTTCATTATGCAAGGCAAAACACATTAAATTTCTGGATTTTTTCTAAACAAATTATATATGTTGATTTGCATGTATAAAATTATTAATTTCATATTCTTGAAACTGTTTCAAAATAGTAATGAAATCTTGAAATGCATCTGGTTCTGTGTGAGTGGCTCGCACAAGGACTCCCAGTTCTGCCAGCTCAAGGATGTGTAAGAAGGACAAAAAAATAACAAACCAAGACAAAGGAACTGAATCTGGTGTGTCTGCAGTACTGGTGATGTACCAAATTTTTGATTTAAAATTCTGCCCAATATATGGGGAAGTTCCCAAGTCTACTCTAAGAGATCTGCCTTGGTCATTTGGGTTTTCTTAATAAAGACAGAAATTTCCTTCTTAAAAAAACCCTATTATTTTCCATGCTGCAGGCTTTCAGTAACCCATCACAGACTTAGCCACAAATCCAGTGAATGCTGGAGACACCCTCTTGCCTAAAGAAGGGTATAGGCACAAAGAACTGATTCCACAAATTACACCTAAAATTAAATCTGTGAGTTGTGTTTCTGTGCAGTACCACCTTGATATCACCTGCAGTTTTTGCCCAATCCCTAAAAAATCCCATTCTTGCTCTTGTAAACACATTCATCCATTTCAATATTCTTTTTTTTTAAAAGGAAAGCTCCTTTCCACTCTGCTCTACTTAGCAATCAGAAGCAAAGATGTGCAGAAATTTCAAAACCAGTTCCACCCCTGGGGCAGCCCCTTCAACCCTTTGAGCTCCTCTGTGCTGAAACATCGCTCTGCTGCTTCCACAAAAACTGCATCCCCTGCCCAAAGTGCTCCCACTCTGCACTGAGGTGAGGACCTTGTGTTTCTAACACACTCCAAGGACAGGGGAAGCAGAGGATGTGCAAAGGAAGAGCAGAGCCAGCAGCACACAGGTGAACGTGACATTCAGTGCTGGACAGTTTTATCTCACTCTGCACTACAAACTGCATTTAAAAGAGAAGCCATAGCCAAAATATCCCTTTAGCAAGAGAAGACAAAACATGCAGAATTGATACCCATCACCCCCATCACTGTCACCATGTTTTAAAGATATCATTTATCTGAGAAAGGATGGTGCTGAGTCCAAGACCCATCTCTCTGATGTGGCTTCAAAACTGTCTCTAACATTCCTAGCACAGCCAAAGTACTGTCTGACACTATTTCAGACAAACTATTCCAACCCAAGTCTCCCATCCACTGTGCTCTAAAACAAAGCTAATCACATTCCAGCTGAAAAACCCTACTCTTCTGTTAGACTGATCTGTGTAATTGTTTCCCTGTTACCTTGCAAGGTCATTCAACTTCTCTCTTTTAGCAAGATATTCCTCTGCACTGAAAAGAAAAAAAATATTCAAAATTCCAGCTATTAAATGTGCCCATAATTTAAGAGACACAAATTCTTCTTTAGAAAATCTCCAGACAGAGCAGAGTTCACAAAACACTCTAAAACTGCCACTTTAATGCACCTAAGTGAGAGTGATGGATTTATTCTTCCAATACCATGAATGATTCAGACCAGGCTTTATTTATGTTTAACAGCAGAACTTCTGATGTGTTCATTACCATAATCCAGGGAAGACAGGCCTCATTTTAATAGAATTAAGCAATCTCAAAATGACACCAAGTTTTGACAGTCCCAAGGGATGTTCAGCCTGTACCCATTTTATAGTGCCATCTGTGATGCTATTTGAGGAGTATACAGATATTTAACACTTCTCTGTCTGTAGCTTCTAAAGCATCTTGAGGTCTGTTACAGCAGCACATAGCAACTCTGTGATGTCCAAAACCCAGGCTCTTAACTTGGTTATACTATTTCTATAATACAGCTTATTCATGTACAACTCTAAGCTGACTTGATGAAATAGTCCTGACTAATTTTGTCCTAGCATAGCAAAGAGCCACTCCAAAATAAGCCTCTGCACAAGAGGTCCTCCAGCTCACACTCTGGTCTGATATTCACAATACTACTCTGACAGTGAGCAGCCCAGCTGGATACTGGTGCACATCAATCAGTAACACCTAAAATATATTAGCTATGTCTTTATATACATACATATATATGTATACACTGACTCACAGGGCAAGTTTTTACATAAACAAGGAGTGTTCAACATCATAGAGGGCATCTGGAAAATAAATATCTGCCAACTTGATGGGCAGAGGGTCAAAAGAACAGGTAACTGGCCTGGCAGTTCTCTTTCTGTCTTTATTGTAGCATGATGAATGAATGAATGAATCTGTGGTTTATTCACAACCCAATTTCCCCTAAAGTGCTGAGGAAAAGCCCATACATAAAAACCCCAAACTCTACTCCAGCCTATCAACAGCAGAGCCTGAAGTATCTGAACAATACCTAAATGCACAAGTTTTCTAGTACTTACACACACAGCTTCTGCCATCATCAAGCACAACTGAACTCTTACAATGAGCTACAAAAATCTTCTTGTCAGAAGAGAAAACAGTCTCCAGTGTTCAGCTGGAATCTGCCAGTGTGCTGTGCTTCACAAGTGTCTTTGTGACCCACACCTGCTTTTCCCTTTGACCCTTTTACAAAAAGTCTTGGTTTTTGCACACCTAGCCTCCTCCAGGCTGGGCTCCTCCCATGTCCAAGGGCTGCTCTCCTGCCTTCTGGGAATACCTCTGGCAGGTGCCTGCCTTGACATTTAAAGGGAACTAACCAGAATTATCTACAATCCTTCCAGGAGGGGTGCTTAATTCTGCACAGCCCTAAGCTGTCACAGGGTTGAGAAATCTCAATTATCATGTCATAATTCAGGACATTTAAAGGAAGCATTTACCACATTCCAACACATGTACCATGTACATGGAAATTCATTCATCCTGTCTAGTGAACCACACTTTTCTCAGTGGCATGCACTGGTAAAATAACAGCTCATTATTACACTAATGCAAGTACTACAAATGTAGAAAGAAGCATTTACAAAGTTATCAGAAGAAGAAACATCAGAAAACTGTTTTGAGAAGGTTTGATAGAAATCCTCAAAAAGTATAACTTTTATTCCTGTGAATGTCAGGAGGAAAAAAAAAAAGTTTTAGTAACTTTAATCCTTTGGCCCTTTTCCATAAGAGCCAATTTTCCAGAAAGCTCAGTTCAGGTTTTGGGAATTTTTCCTCTCCAACAACAGACTGAAATTAGTTTGAACCCAAGGGCAACTTCTTTAATATCTGTTCAACACACATTTGACCTTCTCTCTTTGAAAAGCCTGAGAGTTTTTCTCTTCTGAACAGAATGGGAAGTTTAAGCTGGATTGCATCTTCCAGTTGTCAAGGTTTATGAAAGAAACATGAAAATGAAAAGTGACTCACCTCACAATTAACAAGGAAAGAACCTGAAGCCCCAAATCAAAGCATCAGACAGCTACAATATTTAGCATTTAGAGTGCTCTTCCCACAGAATGATCCAGTGGCATTTTTCAGGTCTGTGTGGAAATTGCTACAGCATTTTAATGATATCTTTACAAAAGAATTTTAGATAGGTGATAAATTTTGTATTTTAATTAAAGAAAGAAGAGTTGAGGTCAGCAGAATTATACTGCTTGATCTAATTTAAGGTAAAACTGCACTCAAAGCCTCCTTCACACACAGGTTGCCCTGGCTTAGTGACGATATTATTTCATATTGATTTTGTCAGGCTTGCAACTTTTTCAGTGACATTTTTATAACCCTCCTCTGTTCAGATTGTAGAGTGCACAAGCTCAGCAATCTGATTATTTGCTATTAATTCATACTGTCAGAAAATAGCTCACTGAAGCTATATATCAGGTTTTCTGATACTCAAAGATCAATACATGCTATTTTGTACATTTAGTCTTCCAGAGGATATTGAGATTGTTTAGGATGTATTTTCAGGTAAATAGTGATAACAGTAAAAAATTCTGAAAACCCCAGGATCTGCATCAGAAAATGACTAGGGAAAACAAGCTACTGCTAAGCAGCTTCCCATCTTTTTGGAACAGGAGGCATTTTTAAATATCCCATTTCATCAAACATTGGAATGGAATTAAAATTTAAACTTCCCTCTGATATGGGGTTTTTTCTTCTGTTTTTGTCTGTTTCTTTTCTTGGTGTTTTTGTTTTGTTTGATTGAGTTTGGTTTGTTTTGGGGTTTTTAGTCAAGCTAAATTAAATATCATTTGCGAGGGGGTAAAAGAAGGGGCACCAGGACCAAGTCATTCAGTCATTTGTACAAATAAGGTCATAGGTGAAATATAACATTTTTAATAATTAAAAAGTCCAGAACATCAGAATATCTGAATCTCACTAATCTGTGAGTGAAACAAATCAGAGTCATAAGACTAAAAAAAAAAACCCAAAAAACAAAAAGCAACAAAAAAATCTCAAAAAACCACAAAACAAAACAAAAAAACCCCACCAAAAACAAACAAAAAAAAACCACAAAAAAAAAACCCCAACAACAACAACAAAAAAACCACATCAAAAAACCCCTTGGCATTTCAAATACTATTCCAGAAAGTTTTGTCTTTTAAAATGCAATGGTTATTCAAGAGTGAGTTTCAGCTAGAGCTATGTATCCCTTAGTAATGAATTTTGTTTCTCAGCTGAAGGAATGATTAATTTTTTTCTTTTTAAAACTGTATTTATATTCCCCCAGACTTCCACAGGCAGACACAGATGTTTACTTCATGTTTCCTGGTAAAGGCCAAGACACTGGATAATATGCATCAATACACAAGACACAGGTATTTGGAATTTTTTTGTGGGATTCCTTCTAAAATTAACTTCTAAGAGTATCCAGAAAAAATTCTGCATTTGCAGTATTTCCAGAGATCAGCAGCACTCCAGTGACTTCAGCTTGTTTCTCTCCACCCACTCCCTGGGCAGAGGGCATTTCCAGGCCCAGCAGAAGGCAAGGGGCTGGCTGCAGGAGGACTCACCTAGCTCACCCGCTGCATTCCGACCTCCGACGGCGTACAAATGTCCTTTGAGGGCACTTAGGTGGAAGAAGGTCCGTTTCTCGTTTAAAGATGCCACTTGCATCCACTTGTTGTAGCGAGGGTCAAACCTGAAGACCGTGTCGACCGCCGTCTTTCCCTTGGTGTCGTAATTGCTCTGGCCTCCCACCACATAGAGGAAGTTGCCGATGACGGCGATGCCGTGCTGGTACCGCGGCGCGTCCATGGGCGCCAGGGATTTCCACTCGTGGGCCTTCTCGTCGTACATCCGCAGCTCCTTGCTGACCACCAGCTGCTGCCTGAGCACCCCTCCCAGCGTCACCAGGTGCGTGCTGTCCGAGCGGATCGCCGTCCGCTCCGACTGCATCACCGGCTGCATGTACGGCATCATCTGGTAATTGCTGGCCTCCAGAAGCAAGTTGACGCAGGTGTTGTCAGTTCTCATGAAGTCCACAGTCTGGACGTAGTTGATAAGATCCTGGGGGGTCATCAGGGGAAACCTGATGTTCTTCATGAGCTTTGCGGCGTACTCCATGCGAGGCTCCTCGTAGCGCAGCCAGCGACACGCCGCCTTGAAGAGCTCCAGTTCAGTGCAGTGCTTAAGGCTATTACTTGAAAGCACAAAGGCAAGACGTTCAAAGGGGAGTTTCACAAATTCACCAGTACTTAATAATGCAGGGAAGTTCTTCAGGATGAAATTATTAACATATTTATCCACTTCTGTGAGATTGTATGTGTTGGCAATTCGCCCAACCTCAACACAGTTTTCCAACGAAACCTATTAAGTAAACAGAAAAAGGAATCAAAATACTTTCTTAATTTGGTGCCTAAATGATACTGTAAAATTTAATGAGTACTGTAGAATCAGCAATATTTCAGCATTTTGCAGTGCTCAAGGTGATTTACACATGAGCAAATATTCAATGCAGTGTATATATTCATGACTGCAAAGGGAGACCCAATTTATTCCTTATTTTGAAGAAAGAACTGAGACAAGTAACAAGCAGATGGCATATATTATGTCAAATACCTTACACAATGATGAGGCATAACAGTTAGATAGCACCTCATCTTCGAAAAGCTCTGAAAACATCTAAGAAATACATGTAAAAAATAAAATTAAGGGACAGGTGATCAGCCCAAGACTACAGAGAGCAAAACAAAGGTGTCACCATTAGACATTTTCTGACACTATTAAAATTGTGTTGGCATAATAAAACCAAAGAGAATGGCACAGCTAACCCCTGAAAGCCATATATTTTGAACAACTAATATTTATAGTGTTCAATCTCATGAATACATTCCTTCAAAATAAACAAAAATGGATCTTTAATAAATCAAGGCAGTGTTCTCACAGTCTCTGTTCAAAATTAAATACGTGTCAAAAATACGACAAAGGTAGTGATTTTAGTTTATACATTTTTTTAAAAAAAGAATGAACCTAGGAGGATTTCCCCTAAAAATACTCAGCTTATTAAACGCTTTAGCAGTATGGATCACACACCCAAATTTAACTCAGTACTTGAGTACATATGTTTTACAGTGTAGCTGCATCTATCTTTTCATATCTTTGGCTCCTGAATTTCTAAGGTCACTTGGCATCCAAGGCACAGGAAGGAAGAAACATGCCCGGAATGAGGCAAACTTCTGGTGGGTTTTCAGTGAACCCAGCCAGTTCCTTTCAGGAAGCTCTCTGGTACATGTGCTCAGCAAGTCAATCAAATGCTTCTTGCTGAGAAATGCAGCTTTTTTGCATTCAAACCTTATTCCAGACCAAGCTTCATTTACACATGTTCTAGTCTCTGTGCATGTCAGTCCTACTCAGTGTCAACCATTTCCACAACTTTGTCATTCTCATTACATTCCTAATGCCAGAAGAACTTAAGCTTACAAATCTCACAGTTATTTTAAAAAAGATTATAAAGATTGAGGACTATGGCCCAACTGGAGCCTAAGAATTCAAAAACCTTCAAATGACTTGTGGTCATGACAGAGATTAGAAGACTTTAATACTGTATAACTCAATCTGATCATTGTCCTTTAATACCAGACAATTCCAATGTCTAATGAGTACAGGAATAGGAGATTTTTTAAATTCACTAGAAACTGATCCAACTTGCCCTAGAGTTAAGATCTACTGTCATCCAAAGTCTTCATTCATGCATCTTGAAATGCCTACTAATCCTGTAATCAGGTCCCATCTATGAAATGAATGTGCAGCAGAGTGTCAGGAGTTCTAGTATGAAAATATTTGTGCTTTATATACAAAGAAATAATTTCTGCATTACAAGACAGACCACATTGTTTATATCAAAATATATTCACACCAACTAGCAACAGCCTATAAAATATTCTCTGACTGGCTTTGAGGATCAACATCAAACAGATTGCCCAGAGAAGCTGTGGCTGCTCCACTGCTGAAGTGTCCAAGGCCAGGCTGGATGGGGTTCTGAGCAACCTGGTCGAGTGGAATTTCTTCCAAAATTTCTTCCAAGTTATATTACAAAATAAAGCAATGGAAAAATCATCCCTTAACAACCAGCTGACTTGCAGTATACCACAAATCTTAACCCTTGCTATATAGTTACTGTATTTTAAAATCACTTTGGAATACATTGTCTGGCACCAAACTAGAGAGATGCAGCATTTCCACCACATCAAAGTAAGTAGGCAGAAATTACTGCATGCAGGAAAGGCATGCTTGAACTTAAAAGATCAAAGCAAAACCTGTACAGGTTCTGTACCACTGGCACATGCTCAGGATGCAATGAAGTATTTGGAGCTATTGCTGACTGGCTGCCAGTTATCAAGTGCCCAGAGTGCATAGAGTTCTGTATTACCATAATAATATTACATTGTAAATCCATGCAGCTGAGCATATTCCTGGACTTCTTGCATTTGAGAAATTTATTGACACATTACACACTGTTAATGACTGATGAACATGATATCAGCAGCTTCCAGTCAACCCCTGATTCTCGGAAAATTCACTTTATACTGCCTTTATTAATCCACTGGGACTGTACTGCACTCAGGGTTGTTTTTTTTTTTTCATATACGATTGCAAGCACTTCCTGATTCTCGGAAAATTCACTTTATACTGCCTTTATTAATCCACTGGGACTGTACTGCACTCAGGGTTGGCTTTTTTTTTCATATACGATTGCAAGCACTCCCCATTAGGCTTATGAAATTGTGCATTATGTTTGACTCACCAACAAATTCCTCCACTCACCTCAAATCAGGGTGCCATATTAAATATTGTCTTAAAGGTTACTTTTCTCACAAAATTACTGTTACCCTATTTACTCTGCTCTAAGATAATAACCAATGTACCAGACTAAATTATATTGCAAATACTTAAAAGTCATAAAAATATAGATTCTTAAATCCTGAGCCAAAAAAAATAATCCTTCAACAGAAAGAAATGCTATAGCTACTTCTACTTGAATATTCAAAATTGGACAGAGTTCAGCACAATGTTATTTAAATAAATACTTCAGTTACCCAAGCACTGGGGGGTTTTTTGGTTTTTTTAGAAGCTTGACTTATGCTATGGTTCTGTGTGGAAGTCAGTCAAACAGGAGCTTTTCAAGGAAGAGAAGGAACTGCTACTCTGGAAATCCACTGAAGTGAACAGGAGGAATGGAAATACCAGGTGAAAATACACACACTGTACAGTGTATCCAATAACAAGTAAAAAATCTCACAAGAAAAGAGCTAAAAGACATAAACATTCAAGCAGCTAAGCAGCTCCACAAGGAGTTGAGAATTTCAGTTAAATAAATCCCATTTTACATGGACTTGACTACCGTGCAGAGCTGCTCACTCACATTACTCATTGTAATTGCTCATTACAAAACAAAAGTTGCAGAAAATACTAAAAAGCTTTTCAAAAAAGAAAGGTCAAGCACAGCACCATGTTACAACAGCCTGAAAAACCCAAAGCAAAAGCCAAAGTACTTTCTTGAGAAAGCAGTTCACTTAATTCTTTGAAATTTTGGTAGCAGCCACTTCCCAAGCTCTCATAAAAACTTAACTGACTATAAAATACTCCAAAACTGGACAGAGCAAAATGATTGCAAGTATGAGAGCCTTGAAAAACAGCTCAAGAAAAGCAGCATGCACAAAAAATCCAGCCCTCAAACCCAGCAGCACAAAACCATCAGGTGTCCAACTTTGTTTTGTGTCAATGGCTGTCAGACACCAAAGCACTTAATGCAGTGCTTCAAAGGGTCCGAGTTTAAAGGAGCAAACGCACCCCTGAAACCCTCAAGTTTCCTATGGGCTCCCATTGACAGAAGCCCCCAAAAATTTGCACAGAAATTTGACCAGCTCAGAAAACAGAATCCACTGTACCCCTACAGAACAAAGTCAAATTTCTGGTGGCTGTCAGAGCTGGTCCCAGGGCTAAATCCCACACTCCCACAAAACAGATTAACTTGCTCCATCCTCAGATAACCAAGTTTTTTTGACAAGACACAACTTCCAAGTATTAAGCCCTCAATATTTGACTATTTCCTAGTAGTTACAAAAGTGTAAAGCACCAAATTATAAAAGGAACAAAATATTTTTGCAGGTACATCCAAGACATTAATTTTCAATGTTTGGGAATGTTTTCTTTAATTACAGTGTAACAACCCTTTCCCCATTACCCTGTAATTTTCCTGAGTGCTGTAATTCACTTGGGTAAGTTTCTCATCTTTCTCCATTTTGTACATTGCTGCTAGTTTTGCAAAATCAGTGTTGTGTCTAGAGCTCACTACTCTGAAAACATTTCCAGGCATTTTAATGAATATTATTTACATTACAGCTCAGTTAGATGTGAGTATGAGAGTAGTCCTAGTCTATTGTACAGCTATAATTATTGAAAACCAATAGTAACAGAAAACATCTTAGGAAGTATTCCACTGTTTCTCTGAGAGTCTGTTTGGTTGCAGAGCAAAGATAATCAGAGCAATGGGATACTTGACAGGAGGGGTGTAAATGCAGAGCAAATAAAAAAACCACTTTCAAGTCAGCTACAACAGAAACTGTTCTTTGAAGGTCTCATTGTTTTTGTTACACAAATTAAGCTGTTACCTTAAGCTTTGGTTTTTCTTTGTAAATATTTCCAATACCCTCTTATGAAGTACACAATCACATTATGCCTTACATAAACTGACTTATTATAATCTCTTTAATAATGGACTCCCCAGACAATTCAAAGACAATTAAGCATTTGTCTGGGAATGGTTACCTCAGCTCTCATGCCAGCTAACTTCAGTAGAAATAAGCTCAATACTTGCTCAGAATATTTAAATTACAGAAATGATCCTTCAAGAAGAAGCTCTTTCGCTCACCAACTCTTGTTTCAACAAATTTAGGAGTAAGGTCATTCAAAAATTCTTTATATAAGGATGCTAACAACATAACTAGGCTAACAGAACAACCTCAGTTTTGTATTTCCTCTACAGCTATACCATGAATGAGATTATGTCCCGTTAGACATCAGTCTAAATGAAAGTATTCCCCAAAAGAACCCCAATAAAATTAAGAGAAATAATAAAGTCTTCCTCATTCTTTGGAAATTAAATGCAATACCAAACAAGATATTTCTTATTTGAACAAAAACAGTGACTGAGTCAACATCACAAGAGAGCATACTTTCAGAGAATGAGCATTTAAAACAATAACACGATTAAATATGAAAAAAGTTATTTCCTTAACAATGTAAAATAAACAAGGAGCTGCCCTACCCAGAAAGGGGAAAGGCCACCACAGTGTCCCCAGGGCTCAGCTCCCATCAGAAGGAGCCCTTTTCAAATACCTCATTCAAAACACCACTAAGATCTTTTTCCAAGTTGGTATTTATAGTAATGTCAAACCTGGAGAGGCATCATTTTGGAGGTAAAAAAAAAACACTGAGCAAGATAAAATAGGTGGGATGGGATTGAAGAGAATTGAGCTTAATAAAACATTATCACAACATTATCAGACAGGTCATTTAAAAATATCTCCAAATTAAAAGCAAAATGGCATTATCAAGCCTGAATATCTCTAACACATCATAGGAAACAAATTGCTGTTATTACCAGCTTAGACTCCTCTGATTTGCATAAATCCTGGTACATATTTTCAGTTAGGGAGGTCACATTTCTAAGCCTGTACTCTGCAGAGCAACAGGAATACCTGCTTCTTTATTTCTCATTACAGAGTCGAAAAGCTGATTTCCAAATAATTCTGTAATTTGTGTGGAACACACCTGTTAAAGTCAGAGTTCTAGTGAGATATAGAAGCATTTAGCATCAACAGTAGAAAACCTCCAGCGAACATTAAAAATAACTGCAGTGTCTCTCCAAGCAGAACTGTTCTTGCACCACTGCTGTTCTATAGCCCCACAGAGCAGGACAGGAAAGGTACTGAGGGATCCTGTCTGGGTATTGCTTTTATCCTGTGTTAGAGCCAGAAAACAGGTAACTGCACCCCATTGAGATGGAAGGGCTGTAAATACAGGAATACAGTGGCTGAAACTGAAGCACACCTAATGAACGCAGCAAGCAGACAAATGCTAGAGTGAGTGCAGTTATGCAGGGAGACCCTGAAACATCTCAAATCAAACACGTAAAGAATTTCACTGTGGTAAAACATTAGTATCAAACTCATGCTGTATGTAATACTCAGAAAACCAAGTTTTTCCAGGAAACTATAAAGCAAATTTGTTCTCTGTGAATCTAAGCTGTGAATAATGGCAAGTTTTAGACATAACTTTGATTATGACATAAGTCAGTGTCATTACAGAAGAAAAAACAAAACTGCATACCAAGGCTTTAAGCATTGTAAAAATGGGAAACTAATAGTCTTACCCCAGATATAAGAAATACTTTACAGAAGTCCAAAACAGGTAAAATCTGCAAAAAACTGGCAGCTTCCAGAGTGTCCTGAAGGTTGTCCATGTTAAGGGAAAGTTTTGCAGTATAGATGAAATCAATTATCTTCTTTAGGCCTATTTTGTTCACACCATGAAGCTTAATGCACATTAAATCTTGTTCCTTCATTCCTCCTAAAACAGACATGCAGGTAAATGTAAATGATAATTTTGGTGGGGTTGAAATTATTTCATAAATTTAGAGATAATGAAAATATAATTTTAAAATCTAATTTTAAAACCCCATATGCAACAGTAGAGAGAGATGTTTAGTCCACAGTGCTGTTTGCAGTCCTGGACTGATTCACACACAGCACTGAACTTGTGTCTGAGTGTCTGAATGAGAGCAATTTGGAGACAGACATGGCTTTAATGAAAACACCACCTGTGAACATGGCCTTGAAGTAATCACTTGCAGAAGCCATCATTGCTCTGTGGACAGGGAACACCTCATCACCATCTCCAGGAACGAGCGTCACATCACAGAGCAAACCTTCCACTCGCAGCTGGTCAAAGCCCTGCAGGAAAAACAAAATGCAAAGCATCCCTTGTATTTGGGAGGAGAGTAGAAATCTCTTATTTCCCTTATGTAAATATTTATTTACTTTTAGGTACATGTGTAGTGTAGGTCCAAAAAAGTGACAAAGAAATAATTTGTCATCTTAAAACCATTATCTGTAATATATTCAATGATTAGTATTCGTTGAAAACAAGCAGAATAATCATTACTTTCAAGATTTGGCTGATGAATGCCAAGTACACTAGGCCTTAGAAAGTAGTTTTAGTCAAATAATTATTTTCAGGAAGGAGTTTGTTTTGTAAGCTTTCACAATAGCAGTTGTTTCAGGTAGGGACTCCTATCTTTTTTTGGACCTACCCCTTCTGGTCACATATGCATTCTAGATACAATTCTGTTCCACAGCAATTTAAGGGGTTTGCAACCTAACAGGCTGCAAAAGTCTATGACCTGAAAGGAAAACTGTTACCTGGTTCTATGATTATCAAATTTGTAACCACAGCAACATGCTAAAAACCCCAAAATAAGCTCCCATTATACATCTGATCTCTGAATTACTTATAACATCTAACTGCAATAAAAAATAAAATTATCTACAGCGGCATCGTAGAGCAAGATTTCTTCCAAAGATGTGCCTGGTTGTGTATACTGGAGGATGGATTAAATACTCTCCTCCTTCATTCTGTGGAACAGAAACTCAAACATAAAACATTTTCCTTTGAACTGATATTTTTCTAATACTAGCAAGAATGCAAATATTGTCTCTATAGATGTTCTACAACACAGCAGTGCCATAGTCAGACCCAGCACAGGGCATTACACCAAACCTGGCAGGGCTCTGTCATCTTAGGCACATGCCTAATGTAATTAAATACTGATATTTAAATGAGCTTCTTTGATACAGCTGTCACATCAAAGTTTAAATACTGTTACCTCTAAGAACTTCAGAGTGGACTGGGATATGACCCCAAGAAATGGCCAGGTTTGTTTTCCAAGCTGCTGCTAAAAGTTGAACCCCTCTCACAGGAAAGCAAGTCCCAAGCAATGCTTGCTTGTGGGCATTGACAGCACAAGAACATGAGAGCTTTTGAGGCTTTATAGGAATTACTGGACTAATAAAATCTATTTAGTGGACACATTGTGCAGAGCAGCCAAAAATCTCAGTATAACTCAATACAGGCATGAGAATATTTAATTACCTGTAATACCACAGAACTGTGAGTATTGCTGGTGAAAAATCTGGTGGTTCCTGTCTTCGAAGACTGCAGATGGGCAGAGACGCCCATATCGCTGCTCCCAAGAGACACTTTCATATGAGGATCCTCCTCTTCCACCAGGGATCTAAGGAAATTGGGACAGAGAAACATTAAGACCAAAGTCATTTTCATTCACTGATCTTTTGTTTTAAACCCACAGTCTTCTGGGATGAAATGTAACAGCACAGAAGCTACAGGGAAAAAAAATCAGCAGGCAAGGGAATCAGTCCTTAGTGGTTCCCTTCAGCTAATTCAGGAAAGTGAAGTGTTAACAGTCTCTAAAAAGGCATAACTGCTTTTTTGATTTTAAGTTTTTCCTTTTCCTTCCATCCCCAGCTCCCTGATTTAGACACTTGCATACTATGTTATTTCTACAATCCAGTATTGTAGGATGTTTAGAGAGTTTTCATCTGGTTTCCAAAATTAAGCATCTTAGTTTTTCTTGCCAAACTGGTGAAACATTGAAACTCTAAGGGTAATATTAAAAAAAAGTATTTTCATTCTTACAGCTTGCATTACATCATCCATATACTTTCAGAATAGAAAATATACATCATGGAGTTTCAAGCCGCAGATGGAGTTTTTAACCTGCTTTTAGAAACACACAAGCAGAACTCCTTTAGGATGTGATATCCAGTATTCTGTATTCTGCTACCGTCCAGGCAAACACTTCATAATTTTATTTTAAGATTTTATCCCAAGCAATTACTGTCCCAACCTAGACAGGACGAGCTAATTTTAGGTAGAATTGTTAAAGAATTACTGCAGTATTATTAGCCTGCTATTTTAATCTTCAGATATAAATTAGGTTACATCTGAGAGCCTAACTATGCTAACCTGTAATTATTATACAATGTTAATAAAATTCTTCTACAGAAATATTAACAACTAGTTTCTGTAATTTCTGTGATCTAATGTTCTACCTATGAGCCTGTATAGAAGGCTAATGAATATGTACACAATTTTAATTAGCAAACATAAGCTGTTAATCCACAGAAGAGGGCATGTCCATTTTTAATCATTTCCATATCTCAAAGATTTATAGCTGTTTGACATAATTGCTGCAAATTTCAGATGCAGAAAGTTTTCCAAATTTTAAACAAGCAGGTTAAAACATTGGCCTTCAAACTAGTTTCAGAAATTACCTGAAGCAACAAGAATGTGCTTAAATCCCTTCCTTTTCACCAGTTTTCACTATGATCACTATGTAAGGACAAATTTGGAATTTGTAGAAGAAAAATAATTTTCATAATTTCCTTTTTTTTAAAAACATTTACCTCCACCTTCGTCAGGTAGAAAGACCATACAGAGCACTTTCTGAAACTCACATATTACCCTCATAGCATTGACATGCCTTGTTCAAAGCCATGAGTACAAAAGGTCAGCTACAAAAACATATTCAAAACAAATCCACCATTCAACAGCATACATGGGTTTGAAACAATGAGATTTTATGCACACAGACATAACATTGTAGGAACAAGGGTACATCTGAACAGCTGTGACTTCTAATGTACTCAGCTGAATAAACTAATGTGGATGAACTGCAGCATGCAAGATTGGTGCTGTTTTTGAAACACAATTATCTCTATTTTATAAAACAAATCTAGAGTCATTTAAACAAAGTTTATAGGGTATACCTTAGTCTGGAGAGCCTTTTTCTTTCTCTGCATCCAACAAATACAACTAAGCAACAGAGCAGCAAGCAGTTGCTGGCTCACAACCCAAAATATTTTTGTTCACTCTGTTCTAGGGTGTTTTGGGTTTGGTGAGTTCTGTTTATTTCAGTTTTCATACAATAGCATGGAGGCAAGAGTCTTACATAATTTCAAAGGACATCGAGTCTCTAAATTTGTACATGTCTTCCTGAGAAGAAATACAAAATAATGTGGGGAGACTTGCAAGCGTGGGCGTGAAGAACAACAGATTCAACAAGCATGAATCTGACTCTTTGCTCTCGAAGCATCTTCCCAAAATGTCAGATCAGATAGATGTTACATGAAGGAGTATTTATAATACTTTCTCTGAACTCAGAAGAAAACAGAAAGTGAACACATCATTTAAAATCATTATGAAAAGAAACAGACAAGTAAACCAACCTCCTTGGCTGTTTGGAGTGGGCTTTTTACCATCTTTGCCACATCACTACTTGACTTCCTGACAGACAGTGTAACTCATAAGTTTTACAAATGAAGGCAAAGACCTTGAGCATGATTCATTTATTCCAAGACTGGCTGGGATAATGGAAGCATTTTTCTGAACATGACACACAACTTCCCATAGCTCTGTTCTCTACAGGTCATCCTCTACAGAACACAATGCCTTGTTAAAACTGCACCGTCAACAGAGAGGATATAATAAATATTAAAATACTTCAATACCTACAAGTAGACATTTGACATGCCTGGTGTGGCTATAAGCAGTTCTCTACCTGATTTTCAAGATATAATGAGCAGTTCTCTGTCACACACATAAGCAGAAAAAAAATTTCACCATTTCTCCTCCACATTTGCTGTTATGTATGAACAGACACTTGCACATGCGAATGAGGCATTAAAAACTGAAAATTCCACACCATAAAAATTCACCAGAGTATGACCATTACAATTCTAGTCCTAAACATTAACTTGGCTGATTCCATGTGAATAAAGACAAGCAGATCATATTAATCCTATATGGGTTTTGGCTCATATCTAAACAACAATGACCAAAAAAAAATTGTGATGTGGGTTTTTTGTTTGTGGGGACTTGGGGATTTTTGTTTGATTTGTTGTTAAATACACCACCTATCTAACCTACAGCTTAACAGTTCTGGAGGGCTGAGCACCCTCTCCCTTCTGCAGAAAGTGACATTCAGGAGCTGGGTTTGGCAGAAGTTCCAAAGCAAGTCAGCAATAACACCTGGCAATAAGGCACTGATCCCCTGGACCCCAGCCCTGTGGCATTCACCAAGAGGGAAAGAGCACTCCCAGAGCAACCACAAATTCTGCCTTTGTCACTGGCTTGGTAGCAGCTCAGCATTTATCTCCACACACCACCAAGAACCCGTGTTTGTAAGACAAAGTGAAACTGCAACGGTGCTTAAGCTCTGTGTTAACTGCAATACACAAAGAACAAAACCCAAGCACTGCATCACATACCCTGCAACAAAATCTTAAAGTATTCAGAATGTAGCTTCTGTTGCAGGGGCTGTAACATTAAGATTCAGAAATAACTCTGCCATTTACACCCAGAACAGATGGGAAATGCCCTGAATGCCCAACTGACTCCCCAACAAAACCACAGTAAGCACATCTGTCTTGTTTGGACACTTACCAAAGGCATTATTTACTTTTATTAACATAGGTCTACTAAGCACTATCATTAACTCAATAGTAATGAAGGTAAATGTATTGATTTTTTTTTTTACTTTAAGTACAGTATATCACAATTAAGCATACTACCAAAGGAGAAAGTTAATTAACTTTCTAATTCTATTGTTCTGATCAATAGAAATCATTAAACAAGAAGCACAGCAGTACCATTTTTAACCAGAGTTTTAAAAAGTTGGGAAACAAAAGTTAAAAGAAGTTAAAACTACAGTAGCATGTACTGAGAATTCACAACAAGCTGCTCTAAATGTGGATGTTAAAACCACCTTCAACACACACACTTGGTCTGGAGAGGGTTGAACATCATAGTAGTTAGCCAAGGGAATGTTGGAGTCGAATGTGAAATGAATATTAACACTGCAAGAGGAAGGCAGAGGAGTTGTCTGACTTCCTGCAACCTCTGGGAAGCAGTGGCTTGCAGCTCAGAGAAAAGTGCCAGAGGTTAATTAGTTGCTAACACAGAGTAGGTTGAATCAGAATTTTCTTTCTAACCACATGTTGATTCTTTCAAGTACAGCACAGTTTTTTCCTAGAGGCTACAACCAAATGTGCTTTTCTCATGACTCCAAGTTAATCCTCCAAGTACTTCCAAATGATATTTTTATAGTGATGAAATACAGAGTATTCATTATATGGATATTAACATGCTTTAACTTTCCAGCAAATACTGACAGATTTCACTGGCTGGAGTTATAGCATGATTCACAGAGGCAAATTGCTTTCTAAACCACTTAGCAAGTATTAACCTGTTAAAACAGTTCAGAGGCATCCAGGTGATGATGATAAGCAAAGATCCTTGAAAATTGTAACAGATTTTATTCTCAACTAGAATATTCAAATCATGCAGTTGCCATTTTGTAGAGCTTAGTGGCACACATGAAATAAAATATTGTTATGACGTTTTCTTCAGAAGTAGTCGAGTTTATTCTGATGCAACAGAAACAAGGTAGCTAAGAATATTAAGGATTTGTTCATTTCCATCAGTAATCCATTCATCTATTTCTCAAACCATTGTAGAAACTCTTTGAAAACAAAGTAAGGAGATCAGCCTACAGCTACAGATATTTTAGAGCGCATGTTCTCCAATTTATGTAAAACCCATCTTTACATAACTCAGTGAAAGCTTTGCCAAAGCCAGATCGGCCACAGAGCGAGTTCTTAATTTGGTGAAGCTCAATAGCTCATTTTTGAAAGGACTATAACCTTATTTTCTCTGTCAAATTACTGTTCAATGAACCATGACTACAAGTGTTCTGGTCACTGGTAAAATGGCTTCTGGTGCAATCACCCCTGGCATGTGCCAGGACTCTGGTATTTATCAGGTAACACGGACAGAGATTTCCATTTTATATTAGGTTATTCTTATTGCAGGCCAAATCTTCATGATTTTATGACCTATCAAAAAAAACCCCTAGTACATGCCAAGGCTACCCTATGCATGCACCTATGCATGTAATTTGCTAATGAATCTATTAATTAAAAGGCCAGTAAAATACAACCAAACTTTCATTTGCTATTAAAAATACAATAATTTTTTACTTTGTATGCATAATCTACCAAAGAGTATTTAAGTAAGCTTAATCTCAAAAAAAATAAAAAAATTACTATATTGCTGTCTTCCCATTATGAACAGATGCTCCAACTTCCTGAGGAACGAATTTAGGACTTCCCCAACAAAGTACCTGGCCACCTTGGAGCTCAGTAAGCAGAACTG